GGTGGGAGGGTCGGGCTGGTTTGGGAGGAGGCTGATAAATAACATAGAGAATAAAACTTGTCAGTTCTTCTGTAGTTGTTCAAAAGTCAAGTGGCAAAAAAGATAAAAGGATGTAAAGGCTGGCAGACAGGATGACAAACATGGCAGGAACCAGTGCAGAAACAGAGAAGGAGGCCTTTAGGGGTTTTGGGGCAAGTTCTAGAACAAGAAGCTACAGTGCATGGCCAGAGGAAAAGTTCATGGTAAGGTCACCTTTAATATGGCAGCATTCATTGAATATGACCACCAGAGAGACCCCTCTTAATAAACCTCTAGGATCATAAAAGGATTTCCAGGATGAGGTGGATTCAAGGAAATGAGTTCTATGAAAATGGTGTTTATGTATTAGATAAGCAACACTTTTCCAATGCCTACGTGTGGTTATAATGTATTAATACCCTGTTGTCTCACCATGCACACAAAACAAGAAGTGATCCTTCTGTCTTGTGCAGGTAAAGAATTTCTACTGCCAAATGCTTTTCACTGTGTTATAAAGTTTGTTCAGGCCCAGTTCAGAATTAGGATACAGCTGGGATGCACAGGAGAAGAGAGAGGAGCTGGGGAGGGCACTGGGGTCACTGGGAGAGGGTGGCAGGAACAGAGCAGCTGCTGGAGGAGAGGAAGTTTGGGATAAAGAGGAAGGAAAACATTCCACTGACCTGTTCCCTGTGGGGCAGCAGCAGGCAAAGGGGTCTGTGCAGATCAGCGGCGCTTCCTGGACCCTCTGGCTCCTTTGGGATCCATGTCCTAAAGCGGCTCCTGCCAGGTCAGTGACAAGAAGGAGAAAGTGCCCAGATCACCAGGAGCTCCTCACTGCTGTCCTGCTGGCTCCTCTGTGTGGCCTGTCTTTTTGCAAGGCTCAGTGGGGTCATAGGGCAGGTGGAAGTGGTTTTACAGCTTTGGCTGCATCAGAGCTCCATTCCCTCACTTATCTTGAATTTTTTTTCTTTGTCATAGAGGAAGTGGCTTTGTTTAAATGTCCAAGTGAAGAATTTTGCAACTGGCTCCATGGTCCTCTTGATGAGAACCACTCCTTCCCTGCATAATATCCTATTCTCCAACTGCCTTCCCTCTTCTGACAGGTTTCTACCATTCCTCATTTCCCTACCCTGAGGGGTCATTTTCCCTCCAGCAGCAGCGAGCTGCTGGTGGTGCTGGTGGCACTGGACTGCTGGCAGTGCCGGCAGTGCCGGCAGTGCTGTTGAGGCATCTGGTGCTTCTCAGAAACAACTCCCATTCTGGGAACAGCTCTAGAATCATTGCCAAAACCTCCCCTGGGCCCAAAGGACCACAACGGAGTCAAGCATTACCATTTCTGTAATTCCAATGCAGGTTCACGCAGCCCAAGGGAAGGACAGCAACTGCTTGCAGCCAAGTTACCAGCACTTAAGAGCCCACCCTCATTACTGCCAATCCCCTTGATGGTGCAATGAAAGCTACTAGGGACCAGATTTTGGGGTGCTTTGATCCTCTTTCCAGCCCTTCATTAGGGCTCATCCTCCTCCTCCTCCTCACACATGGAAGCATTTGTGTTTGTTTTTACCTGACCTCATCCCTCTGGGCAACCTGTGCCAGGTCCTCACCACCATCACAGGGAAGGATTCCTTCCCAATATCCAATCTGAACCCATCCTCTGTCTGTGGGAAACTGTTCCCCATTGTCCTGTCACTCCATGCCCTTGTCCAAGGTCCCTCTCCACCTCTCCTGGAGCCCCATCATCTCCTGGATCATGAAGTGTTTGCCCTTGAAAGGGCTGGGCTGTGGGAGATGTGAGATTCCATAGCTGGGTACACAAACATGGTGTCAGCAGGGAAGAGAGGTGACAGTTCTGGTCCCAGGGCCGGCAGTTTCCAGCAGGAGCATTCCAAATCCCTGAGGCACATGTCAGCCTGGGTTGGCATCATCTCACCTCAGCTTTCTAGGAGTTCCTTGGAATTCCCTGTAGGCTGCAGTCTGACTGCTAAGGGATTGTGGAAAATGACTCAGGGAAAACCTTCTCAGAATTACAATTTTCTCAGAAATAAAGGCAAGAGAGAAGCATTGATTTACCTCTCCTCAGCAGAAATGACATTGCTGTGCTCCTGTGCTCCATCTCAGGCACAGAATTGATTATTGCATGAATCCTCTTGGAAACTGCACGGTGAAGGTTCAGTGCCACTGAAATTGCAGTATACAAGTGGGAAAACGGAATTTGGACCAGAAACCAAAGATTCACAGGACATTTATATTGCAGGGTCCTAAGGAGCCACCCCAGGAATGAGATGTGGCAAGTTCAGGCAATTAAAAGGACAAGATTTTGGGACTGGAGTTGCTTTAAAAACAGAAGAGGAAGGTGACCTGGAGACAAACTGCTTTTCCCTTAGGTCTCCTTGCTGAGGCTCTCTCCTGTTCCTCAGTTCCTGGACAGAGTGAAGAGCAGATGGGAAGCAGAGTCCTGATCCCGTCCCAGGCTCTGAACTAGTTCCCTGTTTGTGAGAGCCCTGGAGAACACGAGGCAGCACGGAGAACAGGGGGCTTTGGCAGGAGCTGGACAGAGCCCGCGCCGGACGCTGCTTGGGCTCACCCCGCGGGCTTCGCTCCCCTTTCCCAAGTGACCATTCCAGGGAAGCTCCTGAAGATCCTGCCCCAGGGACAGCAGCTGGGGTGTGTGAGGAGATGTGAGTGCACTACAGTGAAGTTCTCCAGGCTGTGAGAGGAAACAAGGTCAGACTCTTCTCGTTCAGCTTAATCAGTATCTCCACATTGGGTGGAGCCTGGTGATGAATTTTGGGGGGACAATTGAGATCTGTAGGGAATTAAAAGTGATAAATACTGTGGGAAATTGGAGGGAATATTCAAAGGAGCGTCCTGATGAAGGAATCCTCCAGCAGCTCAGTGATCTCAACAGACACCTGAGAGTCCAGGTCACATCCATCCCAAAGCCATTTGCTCTCTGCTAT